TCTTTTGCTTAACCGCCCGGCCTCCTCGCCGATTCTGACTAGAAACTGGCGCACAGAGCTGGGATCGAACCCGCGCCTCTCTGCGCCAATCCCGGTACTCTGAACTTTAACCACTGGGCCACCCTGCCCTGTTTAGAAAGATTAATTTATAAACTTAGTTGGAAGTTCAATACTATTAGTGATCACTGCTTGTCTCTGTTGTTGCTTTTGTTTAGCCTACCGCGTCTGAATGCAATGCAAACTTTAACTGCAAACATCAGCTTCCGTCAAATAAATAAATATAAAATGCAGTACAATACTTCTCCTTTGTTTATTACTTGCTTCTAGGACAGCATAATTTAACAGAGACATGCAATGGTGTATAATGTGCCAGGGAAACATTATGTAATAAATGTCCCTGGCAAACGTCGCGGTACATAATGTTACTGTGACACGTCATGGTATATAATATTGTTGGCACTCGTCATGAAATAAAATGTCACTAAATACGGTTAACTTCATGGTATATTATGAAGCCTGTACGTAAAATTTACATAAATAATGTAAATTTATCACGTCATTTTACATAATACAATTTTGACTCATCACGGTGAATTCCCATTCGTCATATTGGCGTTAAAGCTTACGTAGGTTGGTCGGTAGAAGCTATTCTTTTAAAGCTTACGTAGGTTGGTCGGTAGAAGCTATTCTTTAAAGCTTACGTAGGTTGGTCGGTAGAAGCTATTCGCAGCGTGCGACTCCTCGCCTGTTCTCACGCACTCATTACCTCACGGCTTCGACGCTCTCCATCTCCACGTCTTTTGCCAGCTTCGTATCCTGTATACGCAGCAAGCATGAACGCCTCTGCGACTCAGACTTCATGCATTTTAATAAGGCTGAAAACTTTTTCATACAATTTTCTCATATCATTATGTTCGAGATTTTTGACAAGTTATTCCTGGAGTTATGGGTTATATGGAACTCACGTTGGACAGGTGTTAACTATCATTGATCCTCAATGCGACATCACGCGTAGTTCTTGAATGATACTATAAATAATTTATTACTCTTGTTTATTGTCATTTAGAATAGAAGTGTCGGCGCTGAAGAAATAGGCCCATGGCCTGTTGCCGATTCTTGAACTTTTCGTGACTTGATTCACAAGGGATCCGGCCTTTGGAACCCGATCTTTCCATAGCTGACGATTGATTCATTTGCCTTTTTGTTCAGAACATCGTAGTGTTGGAAAACTATGCTCTTTGCATATTTTACTAGTCGTATCTTGGTGAAATTCCCGATAGCGACTGATATTGTATTGATCAAACACCAAGTCTGGCCTCACTTCAAGAGGATTGGCAATCCATGAAGTCCTGAGCGACCATCCGAGCTTGGACCCTGCAAGGCTCAGCTACCGGTAATGTGGTCACCTCCGGAGTTACTTCGGCGAAGGGGAGACTGAAATCCTATATTGAGTTTCTTCGTTGACATGTAGATGCTTGGCATCAATTTATTGAAAACATGGAATCTAACATGAAAAAATTACTTTAATCGTGACGTTTTTTTCTCGAAACGGTTTAAATTCAGGTTTTTTCCACTGTGATTACTGAGAAAATTACTCAAGTTTATTTATTCTGATTCACAAATTTAAATGGTTCAGCCTTGTACTGGTAGTTACAGCCGTGATGATCGAGCTGTGTTGCGGCGCATCATGACCTGGGAGAGCCCAGCTTTATGGTGCACGAGCCTCGAATTAAATTTCTAATTGCAACGTTCATTTTATTATAGGCGGGCATTAATATGATTGAGCTGCCATGGGAGCTACGAACTTCTCGCTCGCTGGCCTATCACTCCAGATCATGTGTGATACCTTAACTCGGTCCCTTACGAAGCTCTGTGCGCTACGAATTTTGTTATTTTTCATAAATAAAGATACACGTGACTGTGTCATAAATTAGTCACTTGACCGTGGATACTGAATTAGAGAACTTGACTCGTTCTAAATTTGGATTTTATTACTGATTGTCCATGTTGCTCGTATTGTTGATGCACACTTCACGGCCGAACGTCTCTAACGGGCTACAGCAGACCTTATCGGGCAATACAGCAGACCTACAGCAGACCTTATCTGCACCTGCCGACGTCTATCATCCAATCGGCTACCTTTAGGACGCTGGTAATTTCAGTAATTATTTAGAATATACCTTCTTGTATTCAATTATTTATAAATTGTTCGACTGATAAAATGTTGGTCACTAGTATGAATGGGTTTAATATTATTTATGAATTACCACTATTCTATTAATTACCTCCCTATTGTTTATTTTAAATTGATATATTTAAGACATTATTCTGATTCTAAGCTATAGGCCTTGCCACGCACGGAACGGAGTGGCAACAGCCATTTGCTTGTTCTCCTATTTACTTACCCACGCGGTAATTCTCGGCTCTAAAACCCACGCTTCTGTTTAATCCATACATGTTGAATTTTTTTATTTAAGTATGCACGACTCGTGCACTTAACCAATGCAATTACCTTAATACAACTCTGGCTCCCACACTGGAGTTTAAGCTACGCCGAGCTTCAAATAACTCGCACTGTAATTTGCGGCACAAAAATCATAGGCAGGGCAAAGAAAGCACTGAGTGTAATCTGGGCACAGAGTTTAGGCCCTTCCTGACTCCGGGACCACACCCTCGTGATAGCAGCAACACCCCCTCTCCTGTCTCGCCCGCCGCCCCGCCCTTACTGATGATCTTTACGGCCTGCAATGCACTTATGTATCTCACACTATATACTTTTGTGTATTTTAGGTACTGGCGTTGTGGATGTATACTTTTTTATATGAATTCAAGTTTTTATGAATAAAGTTGCAGAAAATGTCATGAATTTTGATTGAAATGATTTTTATTATTGCCACGAAATATTTCATGAATTTTCATTGCATTTATTGTTATTATTACATTAGTAGTCGACTAAAATTAATAAATGTATATAAACATCTGTTGTTACTTCAAATTTTCTAGATATTTGCATTTGAATCCGTGCTATCGTTTTTGTGGATAGAGGTATACCCATGTTTGAATAAATACACGTATTAATTCAACCATGGGTATACCTACTTGTCAATTGTGCAAGCTCTTGCTTGAGCTTGCACAATTTTCAGTTTTCATTGCCGTTCTGTTCGTTTCCTGCGCTCGGACTAAAAGAATTGTCTCATATTTTTCATGTATGTGAAATTATACAATGTATTTATTTGCCTTGTATACTCATGTTGTATTATATTTTGTAAACTTATTCCTTGTGTGCACGGCGCACGCAACAAAACTAATTTTTTTTTATAATATTATTTATAATTGTAATGTCGTTGAATTTGTAATAAGCATGTTGTTTGGTAAGAAAATGTTTCCTATTTTTATTGAAGACATATTTTTATATTTTTAAAGCCTCATTTGAGTTTATTTATTGGTAGTTTTTTTAATATGAACCACAAGAACTGGTTGCATTGTCATCGCTTGTAGGCCTTAGGGTGCATTTACGAGTGTTGTATTATGCTCGGTAATGACCGCGCCGTACAGCCAGCGCTGATTGCTTGCTTGTACTCATTACTATGTAGTGCCATTACACTGTTAGAAAAAACGGTCCCACTGGCATTCTAGTGGCCGGCCGCCCCGTTAAAAATAAACTGTTTCGACGTTTTTAATAGTCGTTTTACGGATTTCTGGTGTTAAATCAGAATAAAAACGGCGACACGGTGTTCCTTTTCACGTGCCGACCGGCCACTGAAACGCCGGTAATACCGTTAACGGTCATTTTTCTAACAGTGTAGCGGGATTTGATCTTCCTGCAACCTGTGTCTTGAGGCATGAATTTTTTATAGTATTCGATACTTTATCTATGTAGAATTAGTTGTACAAAAACGAAGAGTTCGTTTATCCGCCAACATTAGTTTTATTCTCTTAGAGGCAAAGTCTAAGCAAATTAACGTAATTTGTGCAAGATATCAGCTCTCGTCGTCATTTAACCTGATTATTTACCTATTATTTAGTACATATTTTATTATCGATTACTTTTTTATGCTTATTTGCCATAACTGTAAGGTTTTTGGTGTTTCTCTTACCTTTACCTGCCATGTAACTGCCCCGCTGGCCGCTGGGTACTTACCTGTGCCTGCATCAATTGCCTCGAACGGCCATTAATGAGTTAATGTTCAGCGACTACAAGATTTATTTCGCAGTCATATGGCCGTCATAATTGTTAAGTGGTTCTTAAGCTAGCGGCACACGGAACTTTATTTATTCATCTTTCTTTTACTCAAAGAACTTTATTTTTGTCCGCGCTGTACATTATTTCTTCATCTCACCAGCGCGCTTTACTGCGGTGCAAGTTGGCGCGAGGTTCGAGTTCAGCTTTCTTCGTGCCGTTGTTCCTCGGCCAGTTTTACCGGCACAGATAGCGATCGTGAGGCACACAAACGAATTAGGTGCGTTAGTGTCATCTTGATGGCTGTGACAAGGGCGTGACGATATCTCTTTTAAACCCCCGAACCTGATCGCGGAAACGCTTCGTGAAGCTCTTGATCCTGATACCGCTGCGTCATCGCAGTGTTCACCTCTTGAAAAGTTAATCCTTCGCTGCTTCCGTTATTTGGCTAATATTCCGTTACGTCGAGAGGCAAATCTTATTTAAACAATAATGTCCGTACACAAAATTTTCTTTGTCCAAGAATGAAATGGATAAATGAAAAATTTCCTCTATTTTATGAGTCATTCGGAACTTAGCTACGCATTTTGTGTTCCTGATATTCTGTTTTTATTGGCAAAAATACATCTGTAGCACGTCCTAAATCGTTATTATTGAGAAAATGTTTCATGAGTGAACGCGAAATTTCTTATTTCTCGTATATATTCCATGTATCCCGTAACAATGTTGTTGTATTTATTCTCATGTGTTACACGATTACAAACGATGAATAGTTTATATCTTAAAATGTATTAAACAATAGTATTTCTTCTGTTTGCAGGCTTGTGCCCCGCGCTACCAATGGTTCACAGAGTCCCTGAAGAAGAGGGAGCCCGTGGGCACATGCTACGTGGCACGTAATGATCTCAAAGACTTCCAGGAGTACTCACCCTGCCGAACACGTGAGTCCTATGCAGTGCCCACGCTGCTGAATTATTAATGTTATTCCTTTAAATAGAGAGTATCGTTAATAGATAATGTACTTACAAGTAATTACTGTTCACCCTGCCGAACACGTGAGTCCTATGCAGTGCCCACGCTGCCGAATTATTTTTATACTTTTAAATAGAGAATTTCGTTAATGGATAATGTACTTACAAGTAATAACTGTTCACCCTGCCGAACACGTGAGTCCCATGCAGTACCCACGCTGCCGTATTAATGTTATGCCTTTAAGTAGAGAATTTCGTTAATAGATAATGTACTTACAAGTAATTACTTTGCACGCGATAATCTTTGTCTTACGCGACGGGCATAGTCGATTGCTGTGCCCACGCTGCCGAAGTATTGCTATGCCTTTAAGTAGAGAATTTCGTTAAATAGATAATATACTTACAAGTAATTACTGTGCACGCGATAATCTTTTTCTCACGCGACTAGTATTGTCGAGCGAATTATTAACTTAGTGATAATAAGTGTATTATTTAGCAGCATCTGTCAACCCACTCTGCAGTCGTAACTCAGGATAGTGCTTTTTAGACCACGAATCACTCAGGAGCGAATTTTACTTATACCTATACTTCAAATTCTTTATGGCATTTTACTATCTATATCTTTTTCCTAGGACGAAAAAAGCCTGTAATTAAAGCCCTGGACTATGCCATACCAAGTTATCAGCCATTCTTATAATGTGATAATTGAAACAAAGTTTTGTAAAAAATACACATTACATTTGGACGCCTCACCCTCAAGCTGCTCGTCTCGTCAGGGTCCACGATTTTTGCCATGCATAAAAATGCACGTGTCGTAAAAATATAAAAAATCAATAGTATTTGACCGTATGTTGTCGAGTAAAATCTTCAAGTAAATTGATACAGAGTTCGATAATTCATCTTCTCTTGGTTCGGTAACATTTCGGTGCGTGACTGTACTCCTCTTGAGGGAGAACTTAGGTGTTATCTTAGCTCACTCTTACAGGGGCGGGTGCGTTCGAGTGCTCTTGTCTTGGTCGTCGACACATTTTGTACGGCTCGAAAACCGCCTTATCTGCTGGGCGGCGGCTTTGAGGCCTCATATTGTCTTTCATCTCAGCAAATTGAGCTTTCTTTCTCTCTGTTCTGCCGGCAACTTGGCAGCGAGGTGAGCGTCGAGAAGATGCGAGATGATCGTCTAGGTTGCATCTCTCAGCCGCATGCTAAGCATCGCTTTCTCACGGAATAATCGATTGCATTGTTTAGTACAGCGCCATGACAGCGGCTGTACTATTGCTCGTAATCTGTACGTACAAAAAAACATTCTGTTTAATGATCAGTAATACGTACATTTTGATCTCTTAAATTCTATAAATCGAAGATACTTGAAGATGAAAAAAATAAATAATACGTACAATTTGATCTCTTAAACTCCATTGATCGAAGGTACTTGAAGATGAAAAAAAAATAATAATGATCAATAATACGTACAATTTGATCTCTTGAACTCAATTAATCGAAGATACTTGAAGTTGAAAAAAAAGATCAATAATACGTACATTTTGATTTCTTAGACTCTATTAATCGAAGATACTTGAAGATGAAAAAAATTCTGCTGTTTTTTTTTTTAAAGTTACTGTGAAAATCCAACAAACTGATAGAGTAGAGGAATCGACTTCTCTCCAATTTATCGCTATCAACGTGTAATTTTGGACTTTTGAAGCTAATGAGTTGTATTATTTAATTAGATATGAAAAAATCAGGTTATAAATAGATTTATCGAATTAACTCGGTTATACTACAGGGCCCATACATTCAAAAAAAGTTAAGAGATCGTAAGTTCATCAGCCAATCATTGACGGCCTTTCAAGCAAAATCCACCAATCATAGGCAAGAAAATAGAGCGCAAGTATTTACGTTCATTTAGCGAATTTTGAAAGTAAGGCCCCAGGAAAAAATCAGCCAGTGGAAGCTGCAAAAGTGCGTAGGGGTTCAGATGAGTTACAGTGGCCTTGTAAGTTCGTAATTCACGTCTATGTATACGAGGATTTGACGCTTTCAAGATGGTTTAATTGATGCGATGTAGTATTTTTTAAGGGACTACTTTCTTTCTTTCATATTATTATTCTGCCGTGCTAAAGAATCTTTAATTATATTTTCATAGGTTTATTATCCGTTCGAAAAAAGTGTAATTTCGATCATGGTATTAGAAAGTAAAATTGTATTTAAATTTAAAAGTAATGGTAATAAAGTCATTTTCATGTAAGCCGTGAAGATGTGGAATTAAATATATTCAGATTAGTGTTCATTGTCAATAAAATTAATTATCTTGAGACTAGTGAAAGTTAATAATTGAGAACGGGTTACAAGTAAGTGACTGCAGTGCAAAGGAACCCTAATAGCGGGGGCTGGACAGATGTGAGGTGTCCCAAGGACGTCATGCACCCTCCTGCTGCAGGCCTGACAGTGTAGGTGTTGCTTGCTTGCTGCTGCGCCCTTGATACGTGCATGTAGGATTGTAGGAGTCACCGTAGTGACACTCCATGCGTGCATTGTAGGTGTCACCGTAGTGACACTCCATGCCTGCATTGTAGGAGTCACCGTAGTGACACTCCATGCCTGCATTGTAGGAGCCACCGTATAGTGACACTCCATGCGTGCATTGTAGGTGTCACCGTAGAGACACTCCATGCATACATGTTTGCCTTCTGTGGGCATGATTGGGGTTGCACAAGTACTCTTTTCTGCTCTGTCACCGCCTGATTCGAATGCTTGCGCACGTGATGTGGCACTTAAGACACGTTTGACCCTCGGTTACCTTAGTAGAGTTGTAGTTTATCGAGTTTTCGTCGTTTGGAATGAGCCATCATGTTGTCGGTGACTGTCAAAAAACACACACACCTTTATCGAAAGGGTTTCGGACGACCAAGTATTCTTCAATTTGCGTTTTCTGTTATTTGGGGTATGCTGGATTTGACTAAATTAACGTAATTATTTAGTAATTTGTGAGAACACACACACCTTTATCGAAAGGGTTTCGGACCAAGAAATATACAATTTGCATTTTTGTTATTTGGGGTATGCTTGTTTTGACTAAATTAACGAAGTCGCGTAGGTTAATTTGTGAGATAATGTACGCTAAAGTGCTTGTAATACTCGTGATGGTGAGGCTTCCTTGAGATATAGAGAATAATTGACTGCAGCATATACAGTACAAGGCAAGTTTCATTCTTTCATATTTTACCCTTACTATAATGTTATTCTGAACCTCTACGTCTGAAGTAAGTACAGTGGCATGCATTCACCAGTCAGCATGACGAGTTTCCTGCAGTGCGGGGGCTGGAATGCAAATACTGACGTATCCAGGCAAGGGCGATTTCTTTTTATCTCGCAAGTGTGAACATTGGGTTGTTTGTCTAGACTTTGTATGGCGTTGGCGTCAGCGATCATTATTTTTTATTAGATATGTAAAAGCAAAATTTCGTGCATTAGTGATTGGTTGACGCTCGAAATTGTGCAATGTGCTCGTTATTCTATAATGTTCCTTGATTAAGAAAATTAATTAGTTACATAATTGATATTTCCTTGGCTCAAGAAAACAAGGGATTACCGTCATGGAAGTGAACAGCGGTGAGAGGAAGCTCCATTAAGAAAACATCATTATGATGTAGCTTTTATTTGGTGAAGTATTTTTGTGTTCGTCCATTATGCATTTAATTTAAATATCGGATTAGTATAGCACTTCCCCTCAGGGTGGACTTCTGACGCGTGTCTGTGCTCGTCAGAAGTCCTATGGGATTTCGCACTCCTAGCGGGATTGTTCCTTAGCGCCCCACCGTTGAGCTCGCGGTGTCTGACTGCAGATCTCAGTTGTAGGGTTAAGTTATTACGTATATAGGTAGGATTCCTTACATTTCCCTTCTCTGTCTCTCTCGTGCGGGCGGCCGACGTCCCGTGTAAGCGACCTCTCGTTCGAGTGTCTTAGTTTCTGTTGCTTTTCACCTGTCCCTCCTTGTCACTTCGTCTCTTTGTCAATTGTATCCTCTATAACAGCAGAGTTTGCAGAAGGCATGCTGCACGGTCTGATGTTAGAACAGTTCTTTTAAGTTTATCATAAGTGTCATATAACTAAGCTTCTCCCAGTGTTCCTGGAAAACGAAGATTCAATCCTTGACATATCACAGAATCTGCTGTGATATTGAAAGCCAGAGCCACAATTTTTTAGCCTAAGTCACGCGTTCTTAAACTCTAGACCAAACTCGCGTATTCTTAGTTTTTAGCTAAAGATACGCGCTCTCACGTTTTTTTTTTTGAGAATGCATTCCCTTTTTACGTGTTTATTCTCTTAAATCTACAGAATCGTCAGTTTTTTTTTCTAGCTGGAGTCAAGCGTTCTTATGTTTCAGCTGAAATCTCTTGCTCCTCTGTTATAGGCAGAAGTCAGAAATTATTCTGCTTTAGCTAAGGTAAAATTCGTTTTTTTTTGCTAAAGTTACGAATTAATATGTTATAACTCAAGTCACTCGTCCTAATGTTTTATCTAAAGTCACGTCAACTTCAGTAAAAAGATACCTAATCGTAAATAAATACCTAATCGTCCCTCTAGCGGAGGTCACGGTTTGTGTCGCAGAGCTTCACCTGTGCGTCCCTGGCGCTCTCTGCGCGCGAGCGACGTGGTCTTCATCTTCACAAACGGCGCCTTTATGCGCCTTTATGCGCGTCAAATGCGCTCTAATTTCACACTTCCGCCAGTGGGGCTGCGCCTAACTCAAGGCGCTGCGTTTCATTAGCGCTGAGTTTTCATTATGACTCGTTTTTTCAACTGTGCTTTTCTTGATAAATTGCTGCAATGGCATGACTAGGTTTTCGAATTCAAAAATAACAACGTTAGTACACAATGAACAATTTGAAAGTCGACTACATAAAAGCCTGGTTTAGCGAAGTAAAATCGAAATAGTTATTGATAAATCTAAATTATTATCAGCGAAACC